GGTCTTAACGTATCTGGCAACCACTAAAACGCACACATCCTACACACGCAGTTCAAATTAGCTGTAGGAAGACTGACCTGGATGTCAAGAAGAGCAACTGTAATATGAGCCTGAGAGATGGATCTCGAGAAGCATGAGAAGAGGCTAATTAGCATTTTGATATTTACTATGACTGTGCCATCACAATTATCCTCCTCCTTTGCATTGGTATCAGGTCCACACAATAAGACTGGGAGCTGCTGCGGTGGATGAGACCAGGAAAAATCAACAGGGTATGTAGACAGAGTCATCCAACTGGCGCGAGTGAACCTACATGCAGTGCGATTGTACTCGAGCTCGTGCTCCGGCAGACTGCACCACTGTTCTCGTAGAGTCTGCGCACAACGAGAGTCAGGGCCTTTCCCCTCTCTGACGACTGTTTAAGTAGCTACTTGCAGTCGGTGGGATGGAAGCATTTCAGCTGTCGGTATCCCACTGTAATGTCTGCCAAATTAAAGGCAAAAGATACCGTGAAAAAACCAATTGGAGTCAGCACACTTCGCAGGTATTATAAGGAAGTGCTAGCTCTCCGCTTAACTAGCGGCCACCGTCCCCATACTAGTGGCATTCAGTGTGGTATTATAAGTTCCAAATCCTTTTAAAATATTGCGTATTTATCTGCTTTTCTTAAATCGTATTTTCTTGAATGCACCATTAAGGCTAGAAGCGGTCAGCGAACACTAATATTGAGATGGAATGGACGTCTATTACCTCTAAGGATAAAATTTACTCTACACAAAGAAAACCCAATCACTGTACCACGCCCACAACATTATCAGGACAGAATATCTCCGCCTACCAAGTTGAAAACGATAAACGTCGAACAAGTCACACTTGTTGCAGCACTCAGAGACCTCCCACCTTTAAATACCAACACAGACGTCGAAAGGTGGCTTTAAAATCCAAGATTGAACCTATGGTCTTAACTCCAACACCAAAGGACACCTCAGATTCTACGTGCCCTACTGCAGAACCAACTTTCAGACGCCGTAGAGGCCGGGACAACCCCGGACGCCGAGTTGGGAAAATACTATACCACCTTGATCCAATTTGCCGTCAACTAGAAAGAACAGACACATAGCAGATAGTTTTCCAGCAGTAACAAAAAGTGGGCGAATACGAACAGGGGAATCCAAAGAACATCCAACTAGTAGTGGAATGAGCCTTTCACGGGTAACTCTCAACCGAGGTCGCTAAATGAACAACTGCCAAGAGGCTTCGTTGGATGAATTTTAGCTTTCTTAACGGGCTAGTATAGCCCGTAAAGAAGAAGCGTCAGGAGTTTCCCACGGTGTCGCGATGCAAAAAATCCAAAATTATCATTTTAGGTCCACCTGTGTATGTGGATTTCTTCACCGCTATCAAATTCAGCCCCTGTTTCATGGGTCAATTTGTCTAGACAGGACCTGATCCGAATGAACCTCATCTTTCGACAGAGATTAAGCTTAATTTGTCTTTGAAGACGTTATATCTTGAGTTGGAGGGTAGAGGCAGGCAGCATAAGTGGCTCGAGCATCCCTCCACGATACGTACGCAGAGCAATTGTAAAGGGTTTACGTAGCTGAAATAATGCTGGAACAGCAAGTACTTCACAACAAAGTATTCACCTTAATTTGATCTATACTCTGATTATTCATTTCTCCCTACCTCAGAGGAGCTCGTTTTTCCAAATTAGTCATCACAAACGACCAAATGGACGAACATCAACAGTGACACAAGAAACATTGTTTTCCAACAGAATGAGGGTCCGTTATTTGTAATTTAACCTGGTTGCTTGCATGGCATTCCCACATCCGATCCTTTGTCAAACAAACGTTTACTGCATCAGGTCAATGCATACACATACATCAAAGTCGGGTGAGACGTAAAACCCGCAAATGTCCACTTTGCACAGATTGACACTCAATTAATGGAGGTAAGAAGACCAGCAACTGTCAAGCTTCCCATGACCTAGCCGACAGTTACATTTCAGATCAGTTTTTCCCCATGGGCTACTAAGAAGCAAAGACTCGAGTAGAGGAATCCTGATTTGCAAATACGCATGCGCATCATACCAACGCGTTCCTATACAAGCTAAAGGAATGGGAGGGCACTCGATTAGGCCTCATAGTTAAAAGTCGCGACAGTGGGTTGAGTGAGACCAGCAGCTTAGAGCCCCAGGAAGCGTTGTCAAAAGATGTCCACCTCCTCGGTGATTTTGCGCAGTTGCGTATACATGAAACCTGGGGTGGTGGTGGTGGTGGTAGTGTCAGTGCCGCAGGCAAAGCAGTTGATGTGGAAGCCGCTCCTTTCTTCTTTGGCGGCAGCGTCCCACATAAACTTCTCTCTCGTCCA